GGTGATGACTGTGCCAGCTACCGCCGTCTACTTCACTGCCTACGATCAACTCAAGACCTTCCTCTGTGGGCAAGCCCTGACTTCTGACCTCTATGCACCTATGGTTGCTGGTGCACTGGCTCGCTGTGAGCATAGGCCTATGCCCTTGATCTCCCTCTGTCCCTGCCTGGACCTGAGCCCAGTCAGTCCCAGTTCCCAGTCCCAAACTGCCACCTTGAGGGTGGGGGGATGTTTTAGACCCCCTGGTCCTAGGGCAGCAGTGGGAACTACCATATGGGACCTGAAATCCGAACTCTTTGCACTGTCCACCCCCTGCAGTGGGCACTGTGACAGTGATCAGTCCCCTGGAACTTGTACGGACAAAGCTGCAGGCTCAGCACGTATCATACCGTGAGCTAGGCACCTGTGTCCGGGCTGCAGTGGCTCAGGGTGGCTGGCGCTCATTGTGGCTGGGCTGGGGCCCTACAGCCCTTCGAGATGTACCCTTCTCAGGTAGGCATCCAGGAGTATAGGGAGTGGGGTATGGGAGTCCTGGAATGTTGTGGCCTCGTCACCTCTTATGAGTGCCCCCTACTTCCCAAGCTCTGTACTGGTTCAACTATGAGCTGGTGAAGAGATGGCTGAATGGGCCCAGACCAAAGGACCAGACATCTGTGGGCATCAGCTTCGTAGCTGGCGGCATCTCAGGGACGGTGAGTTGACTGGACTAGGTTTGAGGCCAGTGGAGGTATCCCTGGGGGCACTTGAGTGTTGATGGAGATGCCCAAGAGAAGAGTCCTCACCAGCAGTACATTACATCAGAGTCCTTAGCCATACCTAGAAGGCCTTTATCCCTCTCCAGGAGCCACCAGTGTGCCAAGGATAGGGGTCATGGGAATGGGGATGAGCTAGCCCTCTTCTCACCCTACCAGGTGGCTGCTATCTTGACTCTACCCTTTGATGTGGTGAAGACGCAGCGGCAGGTAGCGCTGGGAGCTGTAGAGGCTTTAAGAGGTGAGCTCCCAGGAAAGTGGAGTGAGGGGCAGGCAGGGGCCCAAGTGGATTGTGCTGAATCGGCCTTGAATTTGCAGTGAAGCCCCCTCGCGTTGACTCCACCTGGCTGCTGCTTCGGAGGATACGGGCAGAATCAGGCACCAAGGGACTCTTCGCAGGCTTCCTCCCGAGGATCATCAAGGCTGCCCCCTCCTGTGCTATCATGATCAGCACTTATGAGTTTGGCAAAAGCTTCTTCCAGAGGCTCAACCGAGAAAAGCCTCTCGGCCATTAAATGGGGCTAGGAGATGGACTCTAGCTCTTCCCGTGGATCGGGGGCAGGAGGAGACTGAGTCAAGTGCCTTTTCCTCAGCACTCAGGGGACAGGCCTCGTTTCCCTTTTCTCCCAACCAAGAGCCCCAGGTAGGGCTGTCCCCCAACCCTGGGCCATCCAGGCCTTCCTTAGACCCAGCTAGATTCCTGTTGCTCCCCCTTTCCAGGATCATCACTTTCCCACCCCCAAGTTCAAGACCAGATCTGTTCATTGCCTGCCTCTTGTGTTTGCTTTGTGTTTGCTGTAGCTGGGCCTCCAGGAGCCAAGAAGCCCTGAGCTCAGTGTTTCCCTGCCTCTTCATGCTGTCTAAAAATGATGAACTTCTGTGTGGTGCTTCTGTCTGCTGCGGCCAGGCATGGGGGGAGTGGCCTAGGAGGGGTCCTGATGCTGGCTTTGACTGACCAGAGTGGCACCCATGAAGAAGCCCTCCTTAACTTAGGGAGGGTCAAGTTGAAGACCCAAAATTGAGGGAGGTGCCAAGTTGACATTGTGGCCATGAGGTCCCTTCAGCATGGACCCAGTGTGTTAGAAGAGAGACATCTCCCCAAAAGCACACTTAGGTGACAGGGAAAGACAGGCAGTTTTTTAACTGCCAGGCTCCGGCTAATGGACACATTTGCAACTTTGGGCTAAAGCTGAAATGGTTGGACCTGTGGCATGGAAACACCCCCCAGGGCTGACTCTTATCCTGTCCCTAGAGGGTTCTATCTCTTCTACCTGGTGATGAGCAGGTATTAAAAGAGGTCAGGTTGGGGCTTGGGCTGTAGCTCAGGGGCTGAGTGCTTGCCTAGCATGTGTGAGGGACTGAGTTTGATCCTTAGCCTCACATAAAAATAAACAAAGGCATGCTGTCCATCTAGAACTACTAAAAATAGCAACAACAAAAGATTTTAAAGAGATCAGTTGATCAAGCACAGTGGCACATGCCTGTAATTCCAGCAACCCAGAAGGCTGAGGCAGGAGGATTGCAAGTTCACAGCCAGCCTCAGCAAATTAGCAAGGCCCTAAGCAATTTAACCAGACCTTGTCTCAGAATTTTTTTAAAAAGGGCTGGGTGTGATTAAGTGCCCCTGGGTTTATCCCTTGTACCAAAACAATAAAAGAAGTCAGGTTGAAGTGGCATTTTCACGTCTTGGTCCTGCCCTGGGCAGACTTCATTACTTATAACATGTCATACAGAAACCCCTCTCCCTAAATTGTCATGGCCCATTTGGAACAAGTTGATTCTGCTAACAGTGAGCCTTACCTTGTTACAGGCCTGGTACTGGCTCTACTGCTTTCTGAACTTGGCATGGGGCCCTATCCCAGACCCCCACAGATGAGGCCACCCTCAGTCCTCTGGTTTTTATTTGCCTGGTCCCCCCAGATCCCCCATGTGGGGGCGAGGAAGGAGTGACTCCAGAGGGTACATAAGGACAGACAGAGAGGCAGGGCAGCAGGGTCGCCAAGGCTGGGCCTCCATCTCTTGAGAGTGGGAGATGAGCGAAGGAGAGTCCAGAGGGATTCAGCTAGGCCTCAGGACCACCAGAATAATGGAGTGGCTTCCCCAGTAGTCCCTGTGGCCTTGGTCTTCCTGCCTCCCGCCCCCACTGCTTCCCTTTACAGCCCCGGCCTCTTTGGGCAGGAAAGCTAAAACAGGCAAGAAGCAGGGGTTGGTTATCTTTTCATCAGAGACCCCTGGCTGGGTGGGCAGCATTCTCTGGAAGGGCAGCCTGGACTGGGGGATTCAAGGAAAAGTGGCAGGTGTCCATGGCCCCTGGCAGGTGGGGCTGGCATTGCCCACGCCGCTTCTCAGCTGGGGCTCAGTGCTGGACTGCCCTCGGGACTGTCGCTCACCAGGCACTCGTTGGATTTGAAGCTCGCCAGGGACTTGCAGCTGGGAATGGAGGCCAGGGAGCCGCAGAGGCCCAGCATGGAGGGCGTGGGGTCCTTTCCTGGGAAGAAAGGGCGGGTGAGGCGGGACCAACCATTCTGCTTGTGTGTGAGTTGGGAGAGGGGTATGCAGGGTGGGCAGTGAAGGGACAGCCCTCAGGTCACCCACTGAGACTTTCTTGATCTCTTCTGGAGCATTTGTCATTTTCAATTAAACCTTGATTAAGCACCTGTTTCTGTCATGCACCATGCTGGGGACACTGTATTGTAATCATCAGTTTATGTCTCTCTCCCCCTGAGGTTCGTTCTCTTTTGATCCCTTTATTAATCACGCAGTGAGCAGTTGCTCTGTTCCAAGCACTGGGGATACAGAGAACGGAGAGACGTGGTCCCTGCCCTCAAGGAGCTCACAGTCTGGTGGGGGAGACAGACACACAGACAATCACAAACACAGTGTGGTGGGTTACATGTCCACAGCCTGCCTTGTCTCAAAGAAGATCTAGGGTCATCCAATACAGTGTGGTTATAAAAAAGACAGGAAGTCCAGCACAGGGAGAGCTAGGATGGGAAAAACAAGATGAAGCCAGGGGTGAGGGCAACACAACGCATGCGTTGAAGTCCTGGGTATTCGCTCGAAGGGAGCCACTAATTTGGCTCAGAGCTTCCTGGCAGCCAAAGAAAAGGGGGAAACAATGGTCAGGCAAGCAGTTCACAGTGTGCATAAGAGTAAATTAGGCTGAGGGATTCCCCAAGAATTTGTGAGCCCCATGAGGCTGTCATATCAAAAAGCCATTGAGCCCTCACCATAAGCCAACAATGGTGATCATTTTACCAACATTGCCAGGACCGGTGGGAACAGGGCTCAGCAATATAGAGTGACTGGCTAAGCTTTCACAGCTTGGGAAAGGCATGGCCAGGATTTGCATTGGGTTCTGTCTAACACCCCAAACCAAGCTCTTCACTGCTGTCCTAAATGCTCAAGAAGGGCTGAGTATGAGGGACTTGGCCAGGGCCTGCCTGACTGCAAACGGCTGAGGCCCTTCCTAGAGGGGTGCTGAATGCCAGGGTGGGGGGCTCACCGATGGGGCCCCAGGGCTCTTCGTCCCGTTTGCCCTCTCCTAGGCGCTGGGAGTCAGAGCTCAGACTGGCCTCAGCTGACAGAGGTTCGGTGCTCATGTAGCTGTGTCTGTAGTAGAGCAGAGAGAGGTGGTGCTGGCTGAGGCCTACAGCCCCAGGCCATTCTTCCCTGGGGGCCCAACACTCAGCCCCAAGCTAAGCCTACTTGGGACTTACCTCCTGTAGAGCTTGGATTTGCTGGTACCCTCAGCCCCATTGAGTGTTCCCAGCGAGGGCCACTGGCTGACCAGGGGTGTTGTGAGTTCCTTGGAAGCCTGGGTCAGGGGGGCGTGGTCACCAGGGATCAGACCTGTCCTGGGAGGGGGAGGGGGGTCAGGCCTGGCTGAGAAAGGGAGCAGAAATAGGGAAGGGGGACTCAGCAGGAAAAGGGTTGGAGCAGGGGTTAGGAAGGAAACCTGAGTAGCAAAAAGGTGGAAACAATGTTGGGGTCACTGGGACAGACCCAGGCAAGCATGGAGATGGCACTAGTGGTTGTTGGAATGGAGTTGTAGGAGTCGGTTGGGATGGTGTGTGTATGGGGGGGTGGGGGACAGTGGAGAATAGTAAGTCATAGGAGATGGTGCTGAAGGGTCAGGATTAGGGAGATTAGGGAAGAAAAATTACAAAAATCTTTATGGGGATCCATAGGGGTGAGGTAGGGGTCTCCGGGGTGCAGCATTAGAGGACCTACGATGCAGATCCGGGTGTTAAACAGTGGAAATGATAATAATCACATTGAAGGTCTCTGAGTGACAGAGGTCCTGTGAGTAAATGTTGGGGTCCCAGCATTAATGTAGGATGGCCACTCTAGCTGATGTGGGGAATTGAGGGGACTGTGGGAGGTCACTGGCTCTTATGTTGAGGATAATGTTTGGAAGATATTTCCCAAATCTCAGAGCAGAGGTGATGACATCTGTGAACTGATGCAGGTGAGTTGGAACGCTGGTGTCAGGAAAGGTGATCCTAGCCAGTGGGGCTGGTGATGGGGTTCACCGGGATGATGTGTCGGGGATCAGGGGCCAGGACAGGCGGCCGCGCTCACAGCTGCTCCTGCAGCTCAAGGATTACGCCCTCCAGCTCCCGCTTCTCGCGCTGGTTCTGCGCCGCAGCCTCCTCCAGCTGCAGCAACAGCCGCCGATTCTCCGCCTCCAGGTCCTTCAGCTGCGACTCGCGCAGTCGCACCAGCTCCTCCAGGTAGCCCTGTGGGGCGACGGCTCACCCTGAGCGGGTCCCAGCTACTGCCCTGGCCCTGCTCACCCAGGTCGCTCCACCCCGGGCAGCTCCCGCGCCCCAAGCCACGCGTCGCGCACCTTCTGCGCATAGACGATGCGGAACTTCTGCTCCATCTTGTGCCACTTGTTGTACCAGCTGTCCTCGTCAGTGACGAGCGGCAGGTAGGGGTGTTCGGGCGAGTTGTCCTCGCTCGTGCTGCTCTCAGCGCTGTGCCGCTCCTCCTCGTCCGTCAGGTAGTCGTAGCTTGCGGGAGGGAGCAGTGGGTAGGGCCAGCCCTGCACTGCCCCAGCCTCGTCCTGTACCCACCCGGGTGTGGACTAGGATGATGCTGTGCCCCGCCTCCTGTCCGCCAGCACAGTACCCACCTCAATAATGGGCGCTCACCTCTGGGTGAACTTTAAATAGGGCGTGTAATCGATGACCACGGGAGTCTTCCCGTCCAGAACTTCGCCCTTTAGACAGAAGCTGGGGCGGAAGAGCCAGAGTTGGGGGAGGGAACGGGAATGCGAACATTTTGGAGGAAAACAGCCCCCTTGCCCCCGCTACCACCATGCAGACCCCACGACCCACCTGAAGTCGATGACGCTCAGTCCTATCAGCATCCCGGTGAGGAGAGTGGCCTCCTCCCGCAGCATGATGGCCCCAGAGTCATAGAACCGCCTGTGAGGAGCCGGGAGGGACTGCAGGTACAGCTATGACCGAGGAGCCCCGCTCCCAGGATCATGGGGTTTACTACAAACTTCCTGCTCAGTACTAGGGGGTGGGTCTTGTCTTCCCCTCAGACTGGGGCTCCTTGGGGCTAGTGCCTGTGTCCCAGCTTACTGGAATGTGTTCTCTTAAGAGACTTCTCCATCCTCTCATGTAACTAATCCCCACCAAGTGCTTGGTCACCTGATCCTTTAAATCTTAAGCATTTTATGCTTGGCATACAGTAGGTACTCAAAAAATAAATCACTCTGAAATGATAGGAATAGATTGTAGTAAAAACGTAAATTGAGTGTGGCCATGTGACAGGTGGAGGTACATGCCCAGGGCTGTACCCAATGTCCCACAAACCTTCCTGCACAAGCACATTCTGCCTTATTCCCCTGCCCCAGGAACTC